CACCTGAAAGAGATCCCAAATTGACAATGCCAAGGAATATAATAGCAAAATTCCAAAATTACCAGATGAAAGAGAAGGTGCTGCAAGCAGCCAGAAAGAAACAATTTAAATATTATGGAACCACAGTCAGGATGACACAGGACCTTGCAGCTTCTACATTAAAAAACCACAGGGCATGGAACATGATATTCTGTAAGGCAAAGGAGTTTGGATTGCAGCCAAGGATCAACAACCCTGCAAAAATGAGCATGATTTTTCAAGGGAGGAGATGGATATTCAGTGAAGTAGGGGACTTCCAAACCTTCCTCATAAAAAGATCAGAGCTCAACAAAAAATTTGATCTTCATGTACAAGATTCAAGAAAGACATAAAAAGGTAAATGGGACAGAAAGATACAAAATGTTGTTAATAAGGGTGGACTGTTTACATGCCTACAAGGGAAGATGACACTTGCAACTCTTGAGAACTGTACTGTTATTACACCATGTTAAAGGAGTATACATAAAGGGGGTGGATATTAGTTGACTTTGATGTAATGATAAAAAAAATCTAATCAAGTGGGTTAAGATCCAAGTAAGTGGATTAATCTGATCTTAGAAAATGTACTGAGAAAGGATTGAGGCAGACAAGGGTAAATTACATTACAGGAAAAGACAGAAAATCCTATTACAGCAGAGGGTGAGCATTGTTTGAACCTTGCTCTCATCAGATTTGGCTCAAGAAGGGAATAATATAATCAGTTAGGTATGGAAATCTAACTTGCCCTATGGGCAGTAGGAGGGAAAAGGGGAAAGAAAAGGGAGGGGGGATGGGAGGGAGGGAAGAAGCAGTGGGGGCAAAGGAGGGGAGGGGGGAAGGGGATAATAGAAGGGAGGAGAGACTGAAGGAGGTGGTGGTCAAAAGCAAAGTACTGGTGGGGGGAAGGGAGAGAGGAGAAAGAAAAGCATAAACAGGGGGAAAAAAGGATAGAGAAAAAGACAGTAATCATAACTGTGAAAGTTGAATCGCCATCTTTTTTCTTTTCTGTTGAGTTTTGTTTCCTCTTTCTGATGGTTCCTCCTATTGGTTTTAATTTTTAATTACAACTTCACTAATGTGAAAATATGTTTAATAGGAATGTAAATATATAGTCTATATCACATTGTGCACCGTCTTGGGGAGGGTGGTAGGGAGGAAGGGAGAGAAAAATTTTAAACACAAAAGCATATGGAAATGATTGTTGACAAATCAAAATAAATTAATAAAATATATGAAAATAAAATAAAATAAAAGCCATACAATTTTTGATTACTGTTTCTAGGATGAGAATCATCTGTGACTGCTAAAACTAAATAATTCCAAATACCTACTTTTGTTATTCTGATCTCATGGTTCTTGCAAAAAAAAAATCTATGTAACACTTGATGATTCTATTTTACTTTACCCACTGGGTGGCAGCAAAAGACTATTAAGAAAGTAAAAACTTTCTGTGATTCAACTTTTTTTTTTTCATGACATTAAGCTCTTGTGAGTTCTTCCTCTCACTGTACATGACTTAAGCTTCCTGGCTTGAAAGATCCTTCAGATCCAATGTGATATGATGGTGTAATGGGTAAATAGGTATTAGGACCAGTATACTGACCAATGAAAAGCCAAAATCATTACTGAACAAGCTATTGCACATGAGTGAAACAATCCCTAACTGGTCATAAATATTATGGATAGACGAGGAATTATCTGTATCAAACCCAAGTTCTAAAACTGTTCATTTGAAATGATTTAACACTGAAAAGACCAAGCACATCAATTTAATTAAAAATTATAATAATTTTACTCAAAATAAAAAAAACACTTTCATCCTTTCTCTATTTTTTTTGCCTTATGGATTAAAAAATGCACTGGGCTAGCCTGGTCCTTTGAGGTAGTCTTAAATTCTGGTCCCTCCAGATGCCTTTAAAGCATCCAGTGATTATGACATGGGGTGTTCTCTCTCTCACTTCAGATATAATATATATATATATATATATATATATATATATATATATATATATACACACACACACACCACACACACACACACACACACACACACACACTCCTAATCCACAAAGCCTTTTCAAATAGTAGTAGTAATAATAACAATAGCAAGAATTTACACTGCACTTTAAGGTTTGCAAAGCACTGTCCATACATTATTTCATTTGACCCTCCCAATAGCAAAATTCTGGAACACTTCTGTTTTCCAGCCATAAGATATGCACATCCTCATTTCACTGGCAGATTCATTGATTCCAATGCAAAGCAGGTGAGCTCTCAACAAAGAGGTCCTACAGATACCCGATGACCACGTCTAGCTACCTGAGCAGGCAAAGCTGAGGCTTTATGGCACCTGGATGCCTTTGCAGAGATGCCTCTCCAAGCAAGGGCTCTGTAGCACCTCACAGCTCAGGCTTAGAGGTGAGCACTCAGAAAGAGGGAGAGCGAAGCAGCTGCCTAATCTAGCCTCATCCAGTGAACCAGAATGGAAGCTCCTCGAGGGTGTTCCCAGCACCTAACACAACGCCTGGCATACAGCAGGTGCAGAGGCTTTGTAGTGAGAACTAAATTTAATCTTTGCATTTATCACTGCAAATTTACAGATAAGGATATCACATTTTGAATAAATTCAAGGAATTCTGGAAGTTTCTTCTTCTTCAATTAGATTTGAAACAGAGGGTATCATTTTCCTGCGACAAAAGGGAACTTGCTAAGTGCCATCTTTCCAAAAGCATATCTGCCTACCCTGGCTCCTTGCTATGAGATCACTTCCTTAACAATCCCGCATCCCGCCCTGACAGCCAGCAGAACAGTGGAAGAGACTGATGCCCAAAGCCTGGTTAACTTTTCTCATGAGCTTTATTTCCTAAGGTGAGCGTCACACAGTTAACCCATTTCCTAACACTAAGGACTTCAAAGCAAACTGTGAGGCCACAGACAAACTTGAGAGAATACGAAATACAGAAAGATTCAGGAAAAAAAAAGCCTCTGTGCTCTACTCAATCCTTTATAGTCCCAGTGTGGTCATTTAATTTGGAGGCAGGCAGAGCTCTGACATGCTAACTGTACTGTATGCTGGAAGCGCCTTCGTGCAGAATGTTTTTGTGAGTACAGATATGTGAATGCATGTGTGTGCATACAAAGCAAAGCAGTACTGTGGATAGGCTAAATAAAAAATACAGAATAAATCATAGATATACAATCAATTATAGTACATTAAGCAAAGACAAAAAGGTATGTAGAGAAAAAGACATATTGAAAATAATCTTAGTCCAAGTAAACAGCCAGAGGCAATGGTGATGAGGCATGTTTACCTATAATCGTTGAATGAAATCATTTACGGACAGTTAGGTTATAGGGAGAGACACAAAGACCTGGCCTCAGAGTCAGAAGACCTGGGTTCAGATCCTGCCTCTGACACATCTTGCTTGTTGACGCGGGATAAGTCAGTTAATTTTAGTGATCTCGGCAGCTCTTTGAGTCTAAGTTTTAAAGAAGGTGCCCAAGGGCATCAGTGGGTGGAATTTTCTCACTTGGGAGTTCCTCACAGATCCTGTTCCCATTCTCTATCTCTAGACTTCCCTGGTTGCATTTGAAAATCATGTGATTCCCTCCAAAAGGTCCTTCTGTTCAGCTGTGCTCTCAGCTAGGCTGGGGTTTTAAGGGAGGGGCTGGGTGTGAGCTCAGCCAGACCAGTAGATGAGACACTAGAAAAGGCAGATGACACCCAGAGAGGGGAGGCTGCCCAGAGCACAGGATAGAGGGGAGCAGAGGCGAGCTGCTCCGATCTGATTAATTCAAGACTCCTAGTGACCCAGACCCTGGAACACTAAGGTGAATGAGATTCTGTACACAGAGGATGGGGAGCTCATCACCTAAGATGATACTGTAGTGAAAACAGCCAAGCTGACCCGATTCATCTTTTGTATCTGGAAAGCTTTTCACCTTTATGTCTCACAGTGAATGAAGTGGCTTCTGAATTTTTAAATTTTATTATAAATAAGGAGGGGCAATCCAGTATACCTAGATACTGGACTGGGATTCAGAAGACCTGGGTTCTAGTGCAGGTTCTATGAATAACTTGCTTCAAGTCATTGCACTTTCCTCAGTTTCCTCACTGGTTAAAAGAGAGCTGGACAGGATGACCCCCGAGGTCCTACTTACAAATTCATGAAATGCCTATTGTTCTTTAACTAAGATTCCAGAAACACTTATCCTTATGCACATAGAGACTGAAGAGATGGACTGGTGTTTCCCTGGGATGCTTAATCTTTCATGACTAATGCATCCCAAAGCTGAAAACGCATGTATTCCATGCTACCAAAACAAAAATCACAATGGGAACCATGAGTCACCTCAAAGAAGGACCAAAATGTCAAATGAAACACCGTTTGGCCTGACTTTCCCTTCTGTCTTCCTAGCACCTTGAACAGTGCCAGGCACATAGGACAAAGTTGCTAAAGTCTGGCTGATGGCCTCATTCTTTCTATGGTTCACAATTCTTAGCCTAGCATCGCATTAGATGTTCTGTGTCCAATAAGGGATAGTGATTGGATCTCGGGTGAGGAAATTCCTTCTACCAATGCAAATTAGCACCTTTTTGGCACCTTATGGTTTGAGCCTTTTTGGTACCAGGGACCCCTTGGGCAGTCTGGTGGAGCCTAGAGACCCCTTCTTCTCAGAATCATGTTTTGAAATGCATAAAATACAATGCAAAGGATGACAATATGGAAACAGTTATCAACATATGTTTAAAAACAAGTTCATGATCAAGAAGCCTTGTCTTGGAAAGTTGCCTCTAGCACCAAGAAGTTAAGTGATCTGCCCAGTGTGACACAGCCAGAATGTGTCAAAGGAGAGACTTGAATCCAGGTCTTCCTGGTTTTGAGGCCAGCTCTCAATGCTGCCTCCGTGCTCAATAAATATCTGTCAACTCTAGTAGCCTAGATTCCACCAGTATCAGAAAACCAGTTCCTGCTGTTTACCTGTGAATAATCACCAAATTGCTGAGAATAACTAATGTAATTTTCCAATGCATGTTGTGATGAGGTTCCCTGAGAGATGGCATCCACTATGTTGCTTGTGATTCCAGTCTGGGGTAGAGCACTCATGGTCTTACTTGCAACTGGGGCTGAAAACAAAATTAACAGGCTTGTGTTAGTGAGGGTAGTAGGCCATTGAAACACAAGGCCACAGGGCAACTGTACTGGAAAATGAGACGGTCTTATGATATTCAACTTATCTCTAAATCAGATGCAGGTCAGAATTTACCAATGTAAGGAAACCACAGCTTTGCCACCTAGAAGTATCTGCTTCAGCATATCACAGAATGACAGAATTTGAGACTTAGAAAAGACCCTCACCACCAGCCAGCCCAACCCATACATGAAATGAATCTCCCAGTAACATCTCTGACAAAGTGCTGTCCAGCTCTGTCCAGCTCTGCTTGCAGACCTCCAGAGGAGGAGGTAACCCACAACCTTTGAAGACAGCCCATTACACGTTGGGACAGATGCGATTGGTAGGGAGCTTCTCCTGATCATCAAGCCAAAATTGGCCTCACGGTGATTTCCACCCATTACTTGAGTTCCTCACATTCTCCCTAACTTCTCAATGTCCCTTCTAGGTCCAGATTTGGACACATGAAGTCTGACCAGGGCACAGGACAAAGAGACTGTCACCTCTTTATTTCTGAAAGCAGCCCAAGCTGCCATTCACTTATGTTTCCTCTAGGACAGAAGAACCAGCTTTATCTGGCACTAATAATGGAATCCTATTGAAATGTAACACCTCAAGTCCATATGCCTCAAAATTTTAAGTTTTAACCTTTCAAAATGAAATTCTTCTAAAAATAAATTACTCCAATTCCATAAACATAATTTAATCTTTTTTCCCTGACTTTTAAAATCATCATCCATTGTGCCAGACTGCAACAGAGCAGTGTTTTTAACTCTTCTCTCGACTGTCTTTTTGGCCAATGATACACTGACTTTTTAAAGTCTGCTAAAGTTGGAGAAATCGGCTTACCGATGTGTTAAAAATATATGTAAAAATAGAGTCAATAAGTTCTTGATAAAGGACCTCAGGCTTCTTTGGTGGGAAAAAAAAACCAACATACAAGAGCTTTTGAGACAACTACTTTAGCAGATCAGGGCTAGTTCCTAACCCTCCCTCTTTTTTTGGATTCATTTCTGTTCTAATCTGCCCGACTGAGGTTGAAATAAGTCAGATGTCCAGCTAAATGTAGTGTTACTGTATACTTAGGGGAACTAAGGGGGGGGGGCACTGTATTTTCCCTCTGGCATTAACCTTCAACCACACTGTTGCAAGGATATACTGTAGAGCTCTCAGCTGCAGATGTTTATAACAAGAAAAACATTTTCCCTCCAAAGAAAAAGTATATGTGAGCTCCAACATTATTTTTGTTGGAAGGCCCACATCATAAAGGTCAGAACTTTTTTAATATCTCTAAATGGTAAATTCTTTTGATGACAAAAACAGACATTCTACCTGTGCTCAAAGCTGTGACCAGCCCCTGTCCAGGGAATAGGCAGCATTTGGGATGGGGGAGGACTCAGGCTCAGACAGCTTTTCAGTGACTTGACAAAGGATTGTAAACAGGCTAAGCCAGAGGGGTTCTTTCCTTACCTGGTAAACAAACCCCCAGGCAATACACTGGCCAAGTTCAAGTACGGGTTGGTACTAAGTCGGATTTCTTTTGGTGGTTCCCCCAAAAGCGAAGTCTGATTTTTAGAGACAGTCTATTTAAAAAAGAAAGAAAGAAATGTGGCTTGTTTATGAGGACACTTTGGACACTGAGACCCAGAAAGAGAAGAGGCAGAATTTGAGCTGGTGACCCAGCCTCTGCTTGAACACTTCTAGTGTCAGGCAGCTCACCACCCACCCAAGGCAAATTGTTCCATTCTGAGTCCACATTGTTTGTTACAAAGTTCTTTTATATACTAAGTTGAATCTGCTTCCCTGTAATGTCCATCTGCTGGCCCTAGTTTTGCCCTTTGGAGTTACTGGCCCTGTCTCTCATGCTATTCTTTTACATATCTGAATGCCACTATCATTTCCTTCATTCCAAGAATTCTCTTTGCAGGCTAAATATTCTTGGTTTCCTGAGCTATCCTTCATATAACATAGTTTCAAGACCCCCTTATGACCTTGTTCATCCTCACTTGACCATGTCCCTCTCAAAATGTGGTGCCTGGAAACAGCCCTATTCTGAACTACCCAGGACAGAATATGGTGAGACTAACACCTCCCTTGATTTGGACACTAACTTTTTATTCATACCATCTAAGAAAGACTGGATAGCACAGAGGAGAGAGGATTGGTATGGAACTCAGGAAGACCTGAGTTCAAGTCTTCCATCTGACAAGTATGAAGCATGTGACCCTCAATGAGTTATTTCATCTCTCAGTGCGCCAGGCAACTCTCTGAGACTCTAAGTTAAAGATGAATTGTTGAGGTGTCTCAGTGGAGAGTTCTCACACTGAGGAGATACCAAGTTGGGACCAAAAATAATAATAATAAGTTAATGCAGGTCTCATGTTCCCCATATCCTCTTTTCTCCCCACACTTTTACCATTGGGCAGAAGAGTAGTTTGGGTGAGATGGTGTCTAAGTGTACTCCAAACACCAGAATGTCCATTGTATCTTAAACATTGAGGTATGTGACCTCTGCTGGGTCTCTGCTCATTAAGCCCTTACAAAAAGAACATGGCAGCCCAACCCAGCTCCTATCGTACTTATTTACCTTCATCTACTGACTTTGAGGTCACTTTCCCAGCTTTTCAATGAACCATGCTCATGGTCTTCCTGAGCTGTTCTCCCTATCATCTATTGGAACTTCAATACTCATGCTTAGGATCCCTCGATTAAACTAAGTGACCAATTCCTCGGTCTCCTCAAATTCAACCATCTTCAGCCCACTTCAGTCATGCACCTCAATTTTACGCCCTAGACTTTGCTATGTCACAGAATTGAACCAGCGTGGAAGAGCCTGAGTTTTGAAATTCAATTCATCCAGCCATCCACTCCCGTTCTTTCAGCCCGCCCAGATCCTCTCACACCAAACTGACTCTGCCCATCGCTACGTGCAGAGACCACTTTCTCCATCCTGGAATGATTTTCCAGCCCATGGGTGATGGGAAACTCTCACAAATAACATTCCAAAGACACAAAGAGAAACAATTCCAGTGGTAGAAGACAGGGGCTTTGTCTAAAGCCCTGTGGATCCACAGGGAATTCAATGAACAACCTGTCTTTTTAGATGGCACATACAGAAGACGGAAACAAGGGCAGTTTGAAGGATCACGATGGTAAAAGCCTGGCATGGTTCTGTGATCGCATGAGCAGCACTAAAATCTGCACTGAGCTGAGGCTGGCAAGGAATCACAAGGACAGTGCAAACACTTTGTGGGGTTGCTTTTGTTGCTTTTCTAAGCCCTGGTGAAGAGAGAAGGATTAAACAAGGAATAGGAAGGACCGCTGTTTGAAGTGAAGGGGTGGTCATAATGGATGGCGTCAATGGAGAACTGCTCGACTTAAGTTTTTCATCCACTCTCACTCTTGACTATCTCCAGGACACAAGCCAAGAGGCCACATTTTGGCTCTGTAAAGGCCCTTCCCAGACCGACACCTCATACCTCTAGAGTCCTTCTTGTGTGGGTGTCTTATCCCCCTACAGATTAGAGGCTTCGTGAGGGCAGAAGGTATTCTCTAACTTTATATCTCTTCCAGCATTATAGAGGCCTAATAAATCTTGTTGAATAAGATTACCTCCCCTCGGGCCCTGGTGCATTAGATTGAGAGCCTGTAGCCAATTCAAGTCCCTAAGTCTTTTTTTCCCATGAAAACCTTCTGAGTTTTAGTCTTTACCTGGTAAAGTTCATAAGATCACAGGATTTTAGATTCAGAGAAATCTCAGAGGTCATCTAATCCAGCCTAACTCCCTTTTTTTACAGATGGGGAAACTGAGGCCCAGAAAGATGAAGCAACTTGTCCAAGTGATTCTGGCTAGAAAAGTGAAGAGCTGGGATTGGAACTCAGATCTTCTGACTCCAAATCCAGCATATTTTCCCTTCTACCTGGGAGTGCTTTATAATTCTCGCTGTCAAATTTCACCTAGTTGGAAATGTCCCAACGCTTTCTCTTGCTGAGATCTTTCATGCTTTCTGTTCTGTCATGCAATGAAATAGCTATCCCTCCCAGCTTTGTGATATAGTGGGCATTTTGATAAGTGTGCCACCTATGAGTCATCAAAATCCCTGATAAAATTCTGGACGAGAGAGAGCCAAGGACAGAGCCCGGAAACATCCCATTAGAGAGTTCCTCCAAGGTTAACAAAAATCATCAGTGAACCATCTCTGCTTGTGATAGGACAAGTTGGTAAAAAAGGCCTTTAATTCTACTCTCACTCAGTCCGTATTTCTTGATCTTATCCAGGAGGACATAACAATAACTAGCAGTTACTTAGCACTTCAAGGTTTACAAAGACCTTCACAAGTATTATCTCATTTGATCCTCACAACAACCCTATAATACTATTATTATCCCCATTTTGCAGATGAGGAAACTTCAGCTAACCACACAGTGATCGAGTAATTAAGGCAGAACCTGGATTCAGATCTTCTTGACCCTAAGTCTAGCATCTTATCCTTTGAGTCACCTAACTACCTCATTATGAAATTAGTCACTCGCTTTGCTAAAATCCATCCAGGGTAGTTTGCCATATGTTCAGTGCTGGGGATCACGCTTTCCTTTTCTAAGCACAAAGCCACAGGTCAGAGCATCCAACAAGGAACACGAGGACGGCTCAGTCAAGTCAATTTAATACAATTCAAGAAGTATTTATCGGTGTCTGCAAAGGCCTGAGCCAGGCACTTGGAGAAAACAGCTGCCATCACTTGGATCGAAGGTTTTATCCCAAACCCGTGGATAACTTAAGGAAACCCACAAGACCACGCTGCCAAATGGTGGCCCAGGCTGGGAAGATGACGGTGGCAGCTGGGGACACCGAGGGTGGGGGAAGCCAGAAGGGATCACTGGCCACACCTCCGACATGGAGGACTCTCCACTCACATCAACCAGACCTGCCCTGGGCCAGCCTGATGGAACGGCAACATTTCTATTTTACAAAATGCCAACTTCAGATAAATTGGCTATAACAGTGGCAGCATTGCCGGGAAAACTTGCCAAGCTGTTAACAGAATTTCCACAGAGATCCTTAAAGTATTAAGAAAAATAAATGTTTACAAAAGTTAAAAATGCATATATAAATTGTACTGCATGTCACAAGTTTAAAAAAACCCTTTTTTTTATTATATTCATTTGAAACTATTTTTAATAGGCACAAAACCTGGAATTCAGCTAAACAAGGGCCTATGAAAGAGACAGAATAGATATGATGTATAATCATACATGAAGGAATCTTCCTTCCCAATTTCTGCTCTTCCTGATTTCAAACTCTGCCTTCTATCCCCTACCCATCTTGTAGGTTCAGAACACACCTATTTATTAAGATGTTAAGGGGGGAAAATCCCCACTTTGAAAGGAAAATTCAATTATTGCAAATAGGAATCACTTTCAAAAGTGTATATATATATATATATATATATATATATATATATGTACATATTATACAGTAAAAGTGTTATGTATTATACTATACAATACATACTTTTAAAAGGGATTCCTATTTATCTTAGATATACATATATACTTATATAAAATATATACATAAGTATATATGTATGTGTATATTTTAAAAGTGATTTCTATATATGTATACATACCTGTATACTTTTAAAAGCAATTCCTATATTACATATACACACATATGTACAAATATAGTGATTCCTGTTCATATACACACTTACATGTACATGTATACACACACACATCTAAGTGATTTCTGTTTTCTGTAATTGAATTTTTCTTTCAAAGTAGGGATTTTTTTCTAACATCTTAATAAATAAGTACGTTCTAAACCGATGAGACAGAGTAGAGGACAGAGGACAAAGCCTGGAATCAGGAAGATCAGAGACTGAATCTCCTTCAGACTCTTAGTAGGCCTGTTGCCCTACATATGGCACTTAATAAAAAGAAAAGAAAAAAGCATTTATTAAGTCCCTGCTGGGTATGCCAGACATCCTGATAAGCTAGGTGTTACAAATACAAAATGCAAGATAATCCCTCCCCTCATGAAGCTAACATTCTAATAGGGAAAGACAACACTTATGGGAAAGATCATTTAGGTCAGAAAAGGTAAAGGGATAGTAAGTGGGTTCGTAGAGCAACTGATAGCCCCAGTTTCCTTATCTGTACAATGGGAATAATAATAGCACCTTCTTCACAAATATGGCAATATAGGTAACGTGCTTTGCAAATGCACTGTTATTACTAATATTCCTTTAGATACCATTTAGTCTAATTATGTATTTGGTGCTTCTCCTTTGGATAATTTAAATGTATTATTACTTTCTTTTGAAATTCAAAATAATTGTAATATGAAGATTTTTAATAAATCATTCTAGGTTAAACTAAGAAAAAAGGTGATATGCTGTTGCCAAGGTCATGTAACATAAAATTAAGAGAAAAGCTTATTTCTCTGCCTCCTCATATGCCGTGTCTCCTTACCCCTGAACTTTCTTCGGTGCTTTTGGGCTGATTGTGTTGCCTGGGCTGAGCTGTCCCCAGACCTCCAGCAGCAGGATTAGTAAAGCCCGGAAGATAACTCTGCGGCCCTGAGATGGTTCCTTCTGGCGATCCCAGTGTGGCTGACGGTTTGTCCTGAGGAGTGCTTGGCCCTGGCCCACCTTGGCCAACCATGTGCTGATTTGGAAAGAATGGTAAGATCCCTGCTCCTGCTGCAGCCAAGGTCAAAAGAACAGTTGGGTTAGGAGATAAGATCAACGAGAAACAGAAAACCTTTGACTAAAAATACTTAGCAAAATGGAGGATTTGGGGTGCTAAGTTATGACAGAAGCCCTTCAAATTCATCTTGTGTGTGTGTATGTGCATGTGTGTGTGTGTGTGTGTATACACATGTATATAATAGAATAGTCTATTTCTTTCCTTCCCTTCCTCCCTCCCTCCTTCCTTTCTCTTCCTCCCTCTTTCCTTTCCTACCTTCTTCACTTCATTCCTTTTTTATTTCCTTCCTTTCTTCCTCTTTTCCTCCCTCCCTCTCTTCCTTTCTTTTTTCTATCCTTCATTTTTTTCTCCCTCTCCCCTTTTCTACCTCCTCTTTCTTTCCTCCTTTTTTCTGTCCTTTCTTCCTCCTTCTCTCTTTTCCTTCTTTCTTTTCTTTCTTCCTTCTACCCATTTTCTATCCTTCTCTAACCATTTATTTATTTGTTTGGTTTCTTTTGCTTTTTGGTGAGGTAGTCAGGGTTAAGTGCCTTGCCCAGGGTCACACAGCTATTAAGTGTCAAGTGTCTGAGGATAGATTTGAACTCAGGTCCTCTACTTCAAGGCTGGATCTCTATCCACAGACCCACCTAGCTGCCCCTTTAATCATTTATTAAATGCCTACTAGATCCCCAGCATTGTGTTAAGTGCTAAGGAAAAAGCACAAGAATGAACCAACCTTGGCCCTCACAGTGCTTACATTCTATTAGGGGGAAAACCATGTACACACTTTAGTAAATAAAATTAAAGAGAGAAAGTGTACACAGGGTGAGCTTCAGGACTGCTGGGCAAAGAGCCAGCTGCTCTGCGGCTATCTCTGCAATTTCAGCAGAAGATAAGGAAGGATGCAGCATGCTGGGAGGTCCCCCTGTGGGGAACTGTTGGGAAGATACGGATGAGTCATACAGCAGGCACAGGATCCAGAAGACCTGTGTTCAAATCCAAGCCCAGGCACTTACTAGCTGTATGATTCTGGGGAAGTCACTTAATCTCTTTCTGCCTTGATTTCCTCAACTGTAATATGGGGATAATAGTGGCACCTACCTCCCAGGGCTACAATGAGGATCAGATGAGAAATCTGCAAAGCACTTTGCAGATCTTAGTGTGCTATATACTTGCTGGCTATTATTACTGTTATTCTTATTAATTGCCATTGTTGATGTTATTAGAGGGAACTTCCAAAAAACAATCACACTGCAGACCCATTTGAGGGAAGAAAGGTTTTTTTTTTGGTTGGGGGGGAAGGGCAGTAACAATTGAGAGGATCATAAGGATTCTTACAGGAAGCAGCACTGAAGGAGAGACAAAGCCAGGGATTCCAAGAGGCAGAGAAGAGTGGAAACTGCCCTCTGGGTATGGTGGGACAGTCCATGCGGAGGCCGCAGGCAGGGGATGGAACATTCTGTACCGGAAGGAGTGAGTTCAGGGAGAACAAAGGAACAAAGAAAGCTAGGTGAGATTTGCCTTCCAGATTATGGACCCCATGACAGGAAGAAAGATGGTGTTCTTGGCAGAAAGATGGAGATTCAGAAGAGTGGAAAATTTGGGGGGAAGAGAATGAAGCCCAGCTTTGGACATAGCCAGTTTGAGATGCCTGTGGGGCATCCAGGGGCTGTCATCCAGCAGGTACGTGGTCATTCCTCCTCTTCCTCTGATGGTTCACTATGTCATGGGGATGACCCTGTGGTCTCCAAATTGGCTGGTGGAATAAACCGGAAAGGTTTCAATGGTGAACCTGTGATCTTACAGATGTCAGGCAGCTCCCAGTGCCAAGACTCTCTGATCAATGCAGATTTGCAACTATTCGGAAGGGTTGTCTAAGTGATTCAGTGGCTTATCACACGGCCAGGACGTGACCTGGAGGCATCATCACACTGCCTGTCATGGAAACATTACCCTCAAAAACCACCAACACCTCAGCCATCGATCCCCTGTCCCAATACAGAACTCATTACATTCTTTTAAAGTAAAGAATTTTAGGGTTTGGTGTTCCCTCAAAATCAGATAATAGATGGTTTTATATAGCTTTTTAAAGTTTACAAAACATCACATCTGAACCCCACAACAACCCTATGAAGTAGGTGGTATTATTATTCCCCATTTTACAGAGGAGGAAATTGAGGCAGACAGAGGTTAAGTGACCTGCCCATGATCACACAGCTAGGAAGTGTCTAAAACAGGATGTGACCTCAAGTTTCCTGATTCCCCGGTGCTCTCACCACTGCACTATCCAGCTCACTTAACGGAAAGAAGTGGACAGTCAAATTATGAGCTTCAAATCTCACACCTGACTTCTCAGGAAAAACAGAACTACGTGAAGGCATGGAAAGAGACCTCATTTACTTTTATGTTCTTCTCCTCGGTGCCCCAACTCTGACTTCAGGGACGGCGCTGCCCCGGCTCCTAGTGCGTCTGAAGAACCATAGCTGGGGGTTCACCCAGTAATCCAGGTTTCTATAGAAAAGAAAAAGCATTTAAATACCTCTTCTCCTCACAGCAATTCCAAATCTGGTAAAAACAATACTCCACTGGGCTGCGGGTGTCATATGGCTGGAATTCTTGCTACAGCTGGTGAATCACTTGAGTTTGGGAGTTCTGAGTATGGTACCATTACGTTGAGCCCTGAGGAGGAGGGGTGAGAGTGGGGTGGAAGGGGGGACCAGGCTGCCTAAGGGAGGCAAACCAGCCCAGGACAGAAAGAGAACAGTGGGATAGGGCCTGCTAGAGCTGTGACTAGAAACCCTATCGAGGAGGAGAAAGAGCAAAGTCCATTCAACAGACCTGTTTGATGAAGTATTACACTTACACTGTTTGCATGAATATTCTCTATCTTCATCAGCTGTTGCTGGGCCAGTTGTAAGTAAGAGAGATTCTGAAGCAATAAACGAGAGGTATTGCTCATAACTGAATTCTGCTAAAAAAATCATGGGGAAAAAGTCAGCTTAACCAAAAACCCCCTCATAACATAAGATGTTCACCAAAACATCAAATAACCAAGTTCTACGCACCCCAATGCAGTCTAATGCCATTCCTTTTCAATTCAGATCAGTGGCTTGTTTACATAAAAGTGCACTTTCCTCAAAATGTCCAAACTCTTGTACCCCTAACTATTATTTTATTTATTATTATACTACATTATATACTATAGTATTATATATTATACTATTTATACTATTATTTATTATTATACTATATTATCATATATTATGCTATATTATGTTATGTTATATACTATGCTATGCTATTTATACTATTATCATTTTATTTATTACCATTTCAAAATACGAGATGCATTAGGAAAGGAAAGAGAAGAGCTTGACAAGGCACACACAAAAGCCAGTCCTGTTCCTAATGCCCCAGACTTTCAGTTCTAAGGGACAAATGGGTACAGAGGTGAGATAAGTGAACACAATGACTCTGGGGGAGAGGGCGCTCACACTATACCAAATTTTTCCCATGTAGGAGATAGAATACTTGAGGAACACTCACTACCCGTGGGACTCCTGGATACATCCCAATGTCTAATGAAAGGGCCGTCCTGGGGTCCCTACAGATCTGTCTGGATCTACGATCCCATATGACTGACTCTGTGTTACAACCAAGTCCAGACAATCATAAGCCACATTATCTTGTGAACAGTATTAAAAGCCAACACTATTTGTAATAAAACAGTAACTGTATTTGTATTAGATGCAATCTTTATTAAAGACAATTTGTCTGTATTCAATACAAACAAGTATTTAGTGGGATAGATGTTAGGAGCTAATTAAAGTGAACTCATGAAAACTCATCTCCAGTACTCGGGTAGCATTTTCACCAAAGCTTTCCAGTTGTTAAAATGTTTGCCATATTCTTAAAGGCATTAATAACCTTACAACTCAGAAAATGAGTTCGAGTTAGTGCTTACTTATTAGCATGAGAACCAGCTCTTGGTTTTTTCCTCCTTCCCTTTCTCTCTTTCTTTCTTTCTTTCTTTCTTTCTTTCTTTCTTTCTTTCTTTCTTTCTTTCTTTCTTTCTTTCTTTCTCGCTCTCTCTTTCTCTCGTTTTCTTTCTTTCTCTCTCTCTCTTTCTCTCTCTCTCTCTCTTTCTCTCTCTCTCTCCTTCCTTTCTCTTTCTCTCTCTCTCTCTCTCTCTCTCTCTCTCTCTCTCTCTCTCTCTCTCTCTCTCTCTCTCTCTCTCTCTCTCTCTCTCTCTCTCTCTCTCTTTCTTTCTTCCCTCCCTCCCAATATCAGAAAGGGTGAAGCTGATCATACCAACCATGGCCCACATGGAGCCCTGACTACACCTAGCATATTTCAAGGTGTGCTTAGCACAATGCCTGGCACACAGTAGGTGCTTCATAAATACCTATTGATTGTGTAGACATGATTTTTTAAAAATTTTAATAAAGTTTAAAAATTTTTATGAAGGCAAAATAATGTACAAAAACAAACAGGGCACCACAGTGAACAGAGTGCTGGGCCTTGAGTCAGGAAGAACTGAGTTCAAATCCAGTCTCAGACTTACTAGATGAATAGGTGACCCTAAGCAAGTCACTTAACTTCGGAGGGCTCTAGGCAACTTTCTAAAACTACAAACTGCAGAGGAGTGCCAACTTGCATTAGAAGAGGGAATTTCCTCACTTGGGAGTTCCCCATATCAAAGAAATCACTAGCCTAGGCCCTATCACTACGATTGTAGTGGTGGAGGGTTACCCAAAAGGCAAACTTTTGATGGCCAGATATACAAAGTCCCAAGTCATTTTGTCCAGTAGAGTGGACACTCTGATATCAATCAACCTTTTCACCAGTCTCCTAAATGAAATTACAGTTTAACTTCAGATTAACCAAGGACTGAAGTTCTGATCTTCGTCAGAACGGCTCAGAGGAGGCACACAAACGATCCCAGCAGGCTGATATGGCCGGCTGGGAAACCTTCCTGAGGCCGCTCAGGAACAAAGGTCCCCAGCATGCCATGTGGCCTAAGCTGGAGTCTGAAGTCTGTACTTCTCAGGAACAACGGTAAGAGATGTGTTTACTGCTTTGCAAGCAAGGATAATTTTTTGGGGGGGTTGTTTTTAGGCGATTGGGGTTAAGTGACTTGCCCAGGGTCACACAGCTAGTACATGTCAAGTGTTTGGTCTGAGGCCACATTTGAACTCAGGTCCTCCTGACTTCAGGGCCGGTGCTCTATCCACTGCGCCACCTAGCTGCCCCAAGCAAGGATAATTTTTGCCCCCTCAACCACCCCAATTCTAAGAACACTTTCACATTACCGTGCCTTGTGACACCCTTGACCAATAACACATTTGGAGTTAAAGCCTTGCTGGAAACAGGCAACATGTGGAGCTGGCTGGCCTGCACAAGCAACAAGCTTTGTTACCAACAGACTGTTTCATACTTCATAGCAAGCAAGAAGTATGTCACAGCCAAGCTATCTTTTTTCTCCAAGTCATATACCTTAAAAAATAATTTTAGTTTTCATCTTTATGTAGTTGAAAGTTCTTGAGAACTTTAGCAGTTAATGACAAAAGCTTCCTCAAATCAGAAAATCTGACACTATTTAGTTGTGACACACCTGGTGTGGTGGGCAACAGTGTGAAGGAGAGCTGGAGTCAGGAAGACCTGGCATCAGGTCCTGCCTCAGCCAAACGCTGGCTGGGTGACACTTAACCCATCAGTGCCCCAGGCAAATCTCTGTAATCCCAAGTTACCCAGACTTGTCAAATAGGATAGGGGAGAGGAGATGAAACCCCCAGGGTTCCCTGGACCAAGGAGGTCACAGGTCTGTACCATACCTGGTGTATTTTATTCAACTGCAAAAATGCAGGGGTGATGGATGGGTTCACCAGATGAGGCAAACTGGCAGGGGCTCCGAGAACCGCTGGGAGAAAAAGGGAAATGTCAATGTCATGAAACAGCGGAAACTCTCACAAGGCAAAGAATGGTGTGTCCTCATAATTCAGAAGTGGAAGGGGCTTTAGAGGTGAGGCCACCCCCTTCATTTTACAAATAAGGAAACTGAGGCCCAAAGAAGTTAAATGACTTGCCCAAGGTCACCCTGCTAGTGTCAGAGGTGGAACATATTTATCTTCTTTTTTCAGCTTCCTTACTCGGTTTAGATTGTTAGAGCTGGAAAGAGCCAGTGACCATCTAGTCCACCTCTCCCAACTTACAGAAAAAGGTGGGGTCCATAGAGGTCCCCCCATAAAGGGGCCTCCCCCAAAGTCACGAAGCAAGTACATGGCAGGACGTGGACAGAGCAATCAATGGAACATGAGCAGGATTTGATTTGCTCGCCATTAAAACCACAGGCCAGCTGAAGTACAGAGCAGCCAGTGGTGCAGTGGGTGGAGCGCCTGGCCTGCAGTCAGGAAGACCTGAGTTCAAATCCAGCCTCAGACACTTACTAACTGGGTGATCCTGGGCAAGTCACTTAACCCTGTCTGCCTCAGTTTCCTCATCTGTAAAATGAGCCGGAAAAGGAAATGGCAAACCGCTCCAGTATCTCTGCCAAGAAAACCCCAAAAGGAATCGTGAAGAGTCAGAAACATTTGAAACAACAACAAAAAGTTGAAGCATTTAAAATGTGGATGATGTGCAGAGAAAATGCAGAGGCACAAAGGTCTGGCACCCTCCAGCTAACAGAAGTGAGGATGTTCAGTCTGAAGAGAAAAAAAACGTGGTAGAGTAGGGGTAGCATTGGAATTAACTCCAGCCACCAGGAATCCTGCCATGAGGAAAAGGGACGAGTCGCTTTCTGCTCTGCCCCAGAGGCAGAACCAGGGCTGCAAGAGGCAGATTTCAGTCTGAAATAAGGAAACACTTTAGCAGGCGCTGGTCAGGAGCCAACGGGGCCTCCAGTACTGGTGGCTGGATTGAGAGGCTAGCCCTGTTGGGGATTTTGAGACAAGATTGCTGTTCAAGTATAGGCTGGAGAAGATGTATAATGCATTAAAAACTGCATCTGGAGTCAGGAAGACCTGGGTTCAAATCCTACCTCAGACACACTTACTAGCTGGGTGGCCTTAGGCAAGTCCCAATCTCCCTGGGCCTCAAGTTTTCTCATCTATAAAATAACAGGGTTGGACGTAATGACTTCTAATACCCTTCTGGCTCTAAATGTATGATCGTATGACCTTTGAGGTTCCTTTCAATTCTGAGATGCTAGGATCCTGCATCCTAAACTCCTGAAACCCTAAACTTGATTCAGTGCAATCCAACAAACATGAAGGACCTACTGTGTGCTGATCACCATTTGAAAACACTAAGGAAATTCCAAAGTTAAATGGCCCTAGAGATACAGAGCTTACGATTTAAGAGAGGGATCTAACACATACAAAAATAGGTACAATACAAAATGATCCATAAGGGTATTAGCGATAAGGGGCAAAGACAGAAGGTTGAGGTGTGGAGCTGGGGTCTTGGCAAAGCTTTTCTGGAGGAAGAAGTGCTGAAGCTGACCTTTACAGAGTGACTCCAGAGGGGAAGTGAGCATCCCAGGTACAGGGCCTGGCCTGGCACAGAGGAGGGAAGGCAGGTCATCCAGCTTGACTGGAGCAGAGCGAATGTGGAGAGAAGTGACAAGACAAAACTGGACTGGTCAGGAGGCACACCTCTGGCAGACGGGGCAAGGGGTGACTCTGATTTAGGAGCCAAAGGGAAGCCGCGAAAAGATGCTGAACCACTATGCAGTGACTCTTAAGCCGAGCGAAGCATTTGGGAGAAAGGACAGGGAGAACTGAACTTCCTTGGCAAGGAGCCATTGCCAGGCCACGTGTAGCCCGACACAGTAAAGACTCCATGCTTGAAGCCCCTGAGCACTGCCCTCCTTTTATAGGGGCAGAAACTCAGGCCTGGAGATTTTGCCTCTGGGTCCCACGGGGGGTAAAATACTGAGTTAGGATTTGATCCCAGGTCCTCTGACTCCAAATCAGGGCTCATCTTACTACCCCACACTGCTTCCACATTAACACGTCCTTTCACATTCGTTCTTTGACTCCTCATGTATCTCTACAATATATTTAATATATACAAGGTGCTGCAAAAGATACAGAGATCCGACCCGACCCCTATACCCATGGAAACTACACAAATAACCGGAGGAGCAGAGCCCAGCTAGCTAGTAGGGACCAGAGTCAACTAGTCCAATCCCTTCACTTTACAGATGGGGAAACTGAGGCCCTGGCCAAAGCAATGCTTTAGAAAAATTAAGCTTTAGGAAGATCAGTGTGTAATGGATTAACTCAGGAAATCTATCAAGGAAGTTACTGCCAGAGTCCATGAGAAGAGTAAGGAATGCCTAAACCTTGGTGCTGATAGAAGGACCGAAGAGAAGATGAGAGAAGACCCCCTGTAAGCAGACAGGACTGTACTTAGCAAGGCTAATGACCGGATCTAGAGAGTGCAGGAATCATTTCTGGTTTTCCAGCCTCAGGAACAGTGGTGGGGCCAGTAACAGAAATGGGGAGATGTAAGGAGAAGCAGGATGGGGGGTGGAAGACGGGTTCAGTTTTGCCCATCTCAATTTTAACTGTGAACTGGACCTCCAGATGTGGCTGGAAAGGTAGGACTGGGGCTGACCCTGGCTGGGCCCTGGGTGCTCACTCCCAGAGGTCAGGGATAATTTGACTCCCTCTAGAGCAGTAAAAAGCAAAGGAGTGACTGAGTGTGTGAGTGTGTGAGTATGTGTGTGAGTGTGTGCGTGTGTGTGTGTGTGTGTGTGTGTGTGTGTGTGTGTGTGTGTATGGGTGGGTGTGGGTGTGCGCGCATGTGTGTAAATGGGGAGTCCAGAGAGTCAGCATGTCAGAATTTGGGACAGTTGTCCGAGGATTAGCTATATCCTAAAATGAGCATTCTTAGAAAGGAAGAATACAGAAAGACAGCGAAAAACCATTACACAAAATCACTGTATTTTAAAGAATAGCCTATGTGGAAGATATCTGTTATTTTAAGCTTCAGCCATATGCAAAGGTAAGCCATCATAGCAGGCTCCAGGGAACCCAGCAAAGTGGAGAGGCTTAGAATGGTAAATGGGGGAAGGCAGACTTGCCATGGCTGGGGGTTCTCCCCGCTACCTTCTCCCTTTCTTTCACTATTTTCCTACCCTTGCCTCCTTTTGCTTAATAATATTTAATAAATGCTATTCATCCATCCATCCATTCATTCATTCATACACTACCTCTTACATGAAGCCTTTCCTGATTTCCCCAGATGCAAGTGCCTTTTGCTTCTGAAAATTACCTTTTTTTCTACACCCACCCACACACACTCACAAGAACATCTCTTTACCCACAACTCCCTAGAGCCTCCAACCCTGCTTCTCACACCATTCATGGCTCCCTTCCTTCTCCTTACCCTTAGTGATGCAAAACTGTGTTCTTCAAAGCGCTCAACCCTGCTACCATTCCACAAGCACCCAGGAGCCAAAGGGAGCTCCTGATCTACTAGCCAGCTAGTGCAGTAGATGAAGGGAGAGGGAATTCCTATTCCCTCTGCGGTGGGGGGGAGGTGTGTTCCTAGCATCCAGAGCTAGAACCCATACCTGCATTTTCCTCTAGGAACACTATTGCACTCGGTGGCTCACTTAGAGAACATCAGTGGCACAGATTTTACTTGAGCTGCATAAGGGGTTAAACAGCATTTGAGAGTCAGCCTGGGAACCTACATCCACACTCTCTATAACAATGACTAAAGAGGAAAGTGCATTCCACATTCCAGACAACTGACTTAACATACTTTTGGAACAAATAGTTCCTTAGCTGACGACCAGCCATCTATGAAGACAACGACGTGTTTACTAAAGGACTGACTAGTGTTGTTAGAAAGCAATGCTGCCTTGATTGTTTTTTGACAGAATGCCTTTTTATGAAAGTAAAGGAAGAAAGAGGAAACAGACCTGTAACTTCACAAAGAAAAGGCGTAGCCAAGCTATGACCTTTGCTAAGCAAATGAGTAATGCTGTTCTGTTAATCATTATCAGCTGTATAAACGCATTATCTTTATGGTTTGATATTTATTGAATGCAAAAAAGACTCCACCTCCACACTCTAGGAAGTGCACCCCAGTTTGGACCCCTCCAAAGCATCATGGCACCATCTCGCCCAACTGTTCAGCAGAGAGAACCAACTCAGATTAAGAAGAAAAAAAAAAGACACGTATAGAAGGACTGTGGAAGCAAGGGAGGGGGAAAAAGATAAATAGGAAAGTATGGCATTGCCCTATAAGAAAAATGTTGAGTGTTAAAGGTCGGAATGAGAAGAAGTTACTGAAGAAAGTAGCAAAAGGGGAAACTCAAAGAAGGGACAGGACCACTGCTCATTATGGAGAGGACAATGATAATAACCAATGGCTGTCTAATTCTGATCTCCTCTGCCAAGGAGAATGGCCTTGGAAGGAATGGAATAAAATTCAGTGAATGTGTGAATAAAAAAAATATTAAGCACTTACTAAGTGTCAAGAACTGTACCAATCACTGGGCAAAGCAAATACAAAAGTGAAATAAATAGCCCCTGCCCTCAAGGAGCTGCCATTCGAATAGGGGAAGATAACACAAATACGGGAGTTAGAGCTGGAAGTGAGGTGGGGTGTTAGAGGGTTTGCTGCAAAGCTGAGGGATGGCCAGGAAGCTTCATGGCAGCCTGGTCCCGGGGAAGACAAGGTGTAAGCCAGGCACCGACAGCCATTCCCTTCCCCCCAAAAGAAGGAGTTAAGAAAGCATCAAGCCGCCCTGCAGAAGTTTGTCATATGTATCAGACCAACTAAACTCAAGGGTTGAAAGCAGTGGCAAGTGTGATGGCTGAGCCACTGGGAGCATGGAGAATAGGAGGGAGCACGGTAGGGGTGGGCAACTGGCGGCCTCGAGGCCGCACGTGGCCTTTTCTAAATTCTTTGGTATAGGGGTAAGGAACCTGCGGCCTGGAGGCCACATGTGGCCCTCTAGGTCCTTGGGTGCCGCCTTTTGACTGAGTCCAAGTTTTACAGAGCAAATCCTTTTATTAAGCGGATTTGTTCTGTGAAGTTTGGACTTAGTCAAAGGGCCACACTTGAGGACCTAGAGGGCCACATGTGGCCTCCAGGCCGCAGGTTCCTTACCCCTATACCAAAGAATTTAGAAAAGGGCAAACACCTTAATTATCAAAAATAGGAAGGGAATGCAGGCTTCCAACTGGAGGCCACTGAGCTTGACTTCAATTCTTGGCCAAAAACTAGACTGTATTACTAAAAGGACAGTCAGTGGTCACTTGGAAAAGGGAGCAATGACTATGAAAAGCCAACATGGCTTCACTGTGTACAGGTAAATCTAGACTAACCTCATTTTCTTTTTTTAATGGGATTATTAAGCTGGTAGGTGAAAGGGATGCTACGGTTTATCTAAATTTTAGCAAAGCATTCAACAAAAGTCTCTCATGTTTTTGGGGAAAAGACATGGGCTGAATGATCATACGATTAGGTTGATTAGAACGGAATGAATAGATGCATCCAAAGAGGAGTCACAAACAGTACCGGGATCATCTTGGAAAGAGTACCTGGTGTAGTGCCCTCAGGGATCTGGACTTGGCCTGATGTGCTGGGTAAGTTCATCACAGTCTTGGATACAGGCATTGATAGCACGTGTAACAAACACACAAATGACCCAAAACTGGGAGGGAGAGCTAACAACACCCTGCACAATGGAGTCAGCACCCAAAGAGATCCCAACAGGTTAGAGCACTACACTTAATTCAATAAGCTAAAATTTGACAACCATGAAGTCTTACATTTGAGTTCTAAAACCCAATTTCATAATATATAATTGGGGAGGTCTCACTAGACAATCCATCACCTGAAAAAAATCTGGATTTCTTAGTGAATGTCAAGCTCAACCACCATTTTTGGGCTTCACCTCCCACCTGGACTCACCCGACTTCTCCTGCTGCTTTGCCTCTGACAGGTACCCTTCCTTTCCCATTCCTGCCATCCCCCACTTTCCTGGTCCCTTTAAGTGTTGTCTTCCTCCATTAGAATGTAAGCTTCTTGAAGGCAGGCAGCATCTTGCTTCCTAGTATTTGTATCCCTAATGATTAACACAATGACTGGCATATGGTAAACATTTAATAATGCTATGTATCATTTAATAAATCTATGTATCCACGTGTGTATCTATGTATCTATGTGCATATTTATCATCTACCTATCTGAGTCAGTATTTATGGTACAGTAGCAAAAAAGTGCTACAAACAGCTAATCCTTAATAAAAGGATTTGTTCTGTAAAACTTGGACTCAGTCGAAAGGCTGCACCTAAGGACCTAGAAGGCCACATGTGGCCTCGAGGCCTCAGGTTCCCCACCCCTGGTATGCCATATGAGAATCAGCAGAAGGAGCTGGGGGATGTTTAGCCTGGTGAGAAGAACAGTTAAAGAGGGCAGAATCGTAAGAGTATTCAAAGGACAGCATGTGGAAGAGGGATTAGGCTTCCTCTGCTTGGCCTCAGAGGGCCAAAGATCAATGGATAGAAGGCATAATTAGGCTTTATGTGTGGAAAGACTCCTTAACAACTAGAATGGTCCGAAAATGGCATGAGATGCCATGAGAGGGGGAAGGGGAGGGCTCTTCCTCAAGGGTGGTCTTCAAGCAAAAGTGGAAAGACAACTTGTTGAATATTCTGTAGAGAAGATTCTGGATGGTCACCGAGGTCCCTTCCAACTCAGAATTTTGAGATTCTGTGTGATTCTCTAATCTTAGAGATTTCTAATGTTTAATGTTGTTTTAAACATAGGGTTACAAATGTGTTTTTCTCATCAGAATACCAAAGTTAACATTAAATTCTGAATTTGAAACACATGTTTTGACAGCTATGCCCACCTGGCTTACCAGCATGTCCATGTAACTGTGGTTGCAGCAAAATCTGCAACATGGCAGGGTTGTTTAAACTCTTCATAATCTGGACTGGATTTGGCTCTGGAAGTAAACCCTTTCGATTATTGCGCATCTTAAATGAACACAGAAATAAGCAACATTAGAACCAAGATAAATGCAAAAGATATCATTTGTTTAATCCTTATTTGGGGAATAACCATATGTCTAAATTTACAAATCAAATCTTCCATATTTACATTTAAAAAATAGGCTCATTTATGGTATTCATTGGTTATAAAATTCAATCCCAATTTAAAAATAACAACATTTTTGAATTACAGTTCTATGGGACCTCCTACTATGCAACATTTCAAGACCACCATAAGATGGACCAAGTAGAAACAAAGAAACTTTTGTGGTATTATCAATTTAACAGATAGACTCTTATCATAAAACTAACAAATGTTAAAATAACAGAGGTATAAAAGAAATCAGAATGTGCTGTTAGAAACATCTCTCTGGCCCGATCGTAATACCCTAGCAATAAGGAGACTGCTCTTGGGGTCACAGAATTTCAGTAGCTCAGAGTTAGAGGGGAGGAAACGCGGTGGTCATTTTGTCCGCACTGTCTCTGAACAAGAATTCCCACTAGGGTATCCTCAATGAGTGCAGTGTCATCCAGACTCTGCTTGAAGACTCCAGTGAGGGGGAACCCAGAACACCTTTCTAGGCACTCTGGGACAGCTTGAAGCTTAAGGAAGTTTTTTCTTGCATCAAGCTAACTTCACTTCTTTATAAAATCCACCTTGGCCCATGGGGCCATGCAACAGAAGTCTAATCTCTCTTCCATAGGACATCTTATGTAACTGGAGACAACTGTCATGGCCTCTCTCACCCCCACGCCTTCTCTTCTCTAGGTTAAACAGACTTCATTCCTTTAATAGACCCAAATATTGCCTGAATTAGAGGAGCTTTACCCCAGCTGCCCTTCTCTGGACGTTACCAATGCCTTTCCGAACAAGAAGGGTCTTGAATAAAACACCCTAAGTTCTCTGGCTGTACTCAGACCTGGGTTCCAGATGGACGTTGACCCACGAACAGCCTCCATCTGGGCCTGTTCCTCAGCCAGACCCAAACACATCTTCCTGTATGTCTCCATTTTAACTAGGAGCAGTCCAAGAGAGACTGTCAAATACCTTGCTGAAGACATTCGCATTTCCCCTCCCCTAATATGGAAAGGTGAGGCTAATCTGGCGTGAGCTGCTCTTCACGAGGGCACCCTGGCTCTCTCTGATCACTGCCTTCCTTTCTAAATGCTCATAAACCATCCCCTTAATCACGTGTGCCAGAATTCTGCCAGGAAGTGAAGTGAAGCCACAAATACATTATTAAACAATATCTTCTTTCCACGGCCAGATTTCTGACATGATTTAAGAAATCATCATTTAGTTAATTACTTATTCCCCTCCCCCCCAAAAAAGCACTTCTTCAAAAGCTTGTGACAGAAGGCAAATTAGGGAGGCACTTTGTCTAGTAGATAATGCTGGACTTGGAGTCAGAAGATCTGAGTCTGAATCCTTCCTCAGACACTTCCTGGCCATGTGATCCTGGGCAAGTCATTTAACTTTTCTCAGTCTCAGTTTCCACATCTGTAAAATGGGGATAATAATAGCACCTACCTCCAGCATTGTTTATAATACACGTAAAGCCCTTTGCAAACCTTAAAGTGCTGTATAATTATTACCATTATTATTGTTGTTGTTCAATCAAACGGAACGACGAATGAGAAGACATTAGACACAGCAATCAATTATCTTGGTTGGAAGAAACTGAGACAAAACACTCAATTAGCTCCACTGTGATCTGTAAGAAGCAGGTTTTTTTCCTTTTTGAGAAATTTTCTGTATTTTCAAAGTCAATATTCCTTACCATTCTTTGCGCGGCAATCAGCGCTGCTAAGGTACTTCGTCCAGACGCTCCGGGGGCACAGAAGGACACCTGGACCTGGCTTCCCTGGATCATCATCCCATCAGCCGCCTGCTGAACGTCCTCAGCATGTTCTGCAGTGTCATATTCAACTACAGCAAACCCGCCTGCATAGTTCCCTTCATCCTGTGCCAACTGAGGTAATACGCATTTCATTTGCAAAGAGGTAACTGAGAATTGCTTGGAAATATTTGCTTACAAAATTCACCTGGTTTAAAAGATATTTTTGCACTTTTCAAGGACAAACTAATCATAGGTTATGATGCTGATCAAATGAGCAGGTCATTGTGGGTGACATGTTGCACGTGAATCGTTCTAAAGGCTGTGTGTGGCCAGGGGTGGAGATACTCTTTGGAGAAAGGGAGAAGACAGAGACTACAAGAGTGACAAATGGGACACCCCCAGGATGTGAAACCCAAAGAAGGCCTCCAGCATATTGGTATGGATCCACAAGAGAGTCTTTATAGAAAAACATGGACAAGAATGGTACAGGGTGAGAAGATGTAGGAGGTTTCAATTTGTATCAGGAAGGCTGAGGATCAAGAGATGGAAGATGCAAAGAGAAAAACAGAGATTTGGGGTAAGAAAAATGTCCCTAATGACTATTTCCAAGACGGGAATTAGGAGGTTCCACCGTCACTGGAGATCTACAAGCAAAGAGAAGGAGGAAGGGAATAAGCATATATTAAGTGCCCTCTCTGTGACAGGGCACTGCGCTAAGCACTTTATGAATATAATTTAATTTCAGAGATAAGCTAGATAACCATTTATTACTCTGTAGGTGATAGAAGGAATTCTTTTTCAGGTATTACTAGAAAGCTAATGAGGATCCTTCCAACTCTAGCACTGTGCCGTAGGGGGAGGATATCCATAGACAGACAGACAGACAGACATAGACAGTCCAACAGGTAGAGTGTTGGGCTTGGAGTCAGGAAGACCTGAATTTGAATCCTGCCTCAGACACTTGCCAGCTAGTTGGTCCTGGGCAAGTAAACCTCTCTCAGCCTCAGTTTCCTCATTTGTGAAGTGGGGATAACAACAGCATCTACCTCACAGGATTGTTGTGGGAATCAAATGAGATAACATTTGGAAAGTGCTTTGTAAAATATTCTGTAAATGCCAGCTATCAGCACCATCACCATCACCATCATCATTCACATTTCCCTATGTTGTAATATCATTTTACATCTTTCTAAAAGCATAATCATAGTCTCAATGTAATGACTAGTGCAGGGATTTTTTCCTCTCTCTTTATTTCAAGTACTTCCCATCAATCTTAAGAGGTTTAGGCTGGCCACTCTCATTCTTTAAAGGGTCTATCAGACTATCACACAGTAAATCAACTTTCGACGATTCTATAAATGATTCTATAAAGCCGGAATGTCAACCTCAAGTATAAACTGGGGGTCACTAAATGTACATAAAATCTGTGGGCTGTCAAGTGACAATACATTAACATGATCTACATCTTATTACATTTTTATTTTGTTAAACATCTTACAAAGACATTTTAATCTGCTTAGAAAGAATGCTTGACACCCGTGCTGAAGAAGGGCTCAGACAGGATGATCGAATGCCCTTCTGCTTCTGCATGTCTGTTTCAGTTGGTTTCATGGAGAGAAGGAAGGAGGAGAACACCATCAACCTGGTTTGATGTTATCTCTAGTATATCCATTGCCCAGATAGCATGGTACTGGGCATCCACCAATCAACAAGCATTTATGGAGCACCTACTGTGTGCCAAGCAGTGTGGAGAGCACCGAGGAAACAAAGACAAGCCAGAGAGGAAGAACCAAGGGAAGACCTTGGTTCAAGTCCCACTTGGAACACATACTTGTTTCTGGGCTCTGGACTATAATCACTTCTACTGTTTGTGTGCTAGGCACTTCTCTAGGACTAGAAGCCACAGAGGGGTGATGACCCACACTGGTGGAGGGAATTTCCTCATCTGGATTTTCAGATCCTAATGAAGTTAGAAGTTTAGGGAGGAGGGAGGGAGGGAAAGGAGGAAGGAAAAAAGGAAGGAAGGGAGGGAAGTGGGTAAGGGGAGGGGGAGGAAGGAAGAGAGGGAGGAAGGAAGGAAGGAAGGAAGGAAGGAAGGAAGGAAGGAAGGAAGGAAGGAAGGAAGGAAGGAAGGAAGGAAGGAAGGAAATACATTCATTAAATGTTTGTCATTTATTAAACGTTTGTTAGATGAATGTATGTTAAGTCAAAACTGCATTTGTTTTGGTATTTCTTGCTTTCATCCTACAAACTTCTACCAAAGTCTTATTCCAGTGCCTTATTGGAGTGCAGAGGTAACCCTTACTTCTCAAAGCTACACCAGTGGAGTACAAATTTGGGCAGAGCCTACTGTGCTAATCAGCCTTCGATTACAGACTAGTGAAGAAGTGTGTATCTGCTGTCTCAGGACCAGACCAGCTAAGTTCAAAGGGGCTCACCATTAATTTGGCTTCAAGGGGTTAAATAATTTAACCATGAGAACAGTCAAAGGCTGGCATCTAATAAGTTGCATAAAGGTTGCATTCTGGTTAAGTGCCCACACTGAGGAAATTACATATCCTCCTAGTACTAACATATTTTTTATGAACAGGGTAACATATTTTTTAAACCAAACATCAAAAGAGAACTAATCATTTGGCCATCAACTTGAAGCCTGGCATGGCTTGGTGAGGGTGTTCTTAAATGCTAGCAGAAAGGATATCTAGCGTGCATTTCCTATTTATTTACCAGAAATCTTACTTGACAAAAATAAGAAATATTTTTTAGAGTTTCTCGAGTTAGCTGTTTATCAAACCTCCAGTGAAAATTAAAAGCTTAATTTTTCTATGGAATAGACCATTTTCATTTTCACTTGCTCAACTAGATTTGCTAAGGGCACATTTTAAATGATTTAAAAGGCACTTTTCTCTTGTGAGTAACAGCAGCAGAGAGCCATTTTCAAATGCCACAGAGGCAAAGGTCTTCAGCCACAGCCTAAGGAAGGAGCAGAAAAAAAAGTCTGAAGTTGCAAGTGTCATTCCCAACAATTGGACCTGAGCATACCTATCATCAATGGCTCTCTCTCCATACTTGAGAAAGCTTTCAAACTTGGGATCTCGAAAGGTACCTACCTGACCAAACACAGGCTTGTGACTAAAAGAGAAAATCTGCAAGAGCTCTTGGGAGTCGGTGAAGTCTCTGGGAAGTCTATCGATGCATAGGCACTTAGAATGAATGAGATTGGTGGCCAGCTGATTCACATCCATCCACTGTGCAAAGAGAGTGAAGCCTCCTAACTGTTTACCCAACAGTTCTGACCTCGCCTTAGCGGCAGAGTCCTTTTTCATGTACTCCACAAAGCCATAGCCCTTCGAATGGCCAGTGATTTCATTGTAGACCAAAAAGCACCTCTCAATATTGCCAAATGTCCGGACCAGCTCCTCAAATTCTTCTATAGTCAAAGAAGGGGGCAGGTTGGTGATGCAGAGCAAAGCATCCGTGGGCTGCAGCTGGACAGTTATCTCCTTTCCACGAAGCGAATGTTGGTGAAACGTCTGGATGGCATTTTGGGCTTGCTCCCCATCCAATAAGGTAACAAAGGCTGAAAGAGACAATTCAGTAAGCGTTTACTAAGTGCCTACTACATGCCAGGCGTGGTGCTAACAGGGGCAAGTTGCAACAGTTTGTAGGCTGTTCTTTTCATCTTAATTAACTGATCTCCAATTTAGTGAGCTCCCAGAATCCCAGTCACACAGCTCCAGAGGTAGAAGGGCCGTCAGAAGCCATCTAGTCTAACCCCCTCTTGGACAGATGAGGACCCTGAAGCCTACAGAGATGAAGCAGCCAGCCCAAAGACACACGGGTGATGAGCGTCAGGGAAGAGAGTTGGACCAAGGTCCTCTGATTCCAGAAGCAGAACCCTTCCTACAACGAAATAACACAGAGCCTCTACCGTGGCCAAATTATGGAATTGAGGGTTCCACTGTGGAGAATCCCTTGGCATCTTTGTTTTATTTTAAGAAACTATGTACTTTCTTCTAGTTGCCCCTAACCCCACAGTGACATCTGAGGTGGGTTTTGGGGTGGTGGTGGTTTTGGGGAGGGCTGTTGGTATAGAACATAGTTAATGCTTTCAAAAACTCTATAGAAAACCTAGAGTATAAAACCACCTACTCCTCTCAAAGTTCTACCCTAGATGGCACAGGGTTCCCCCACCCCCAAAATTTGCAGAAATAACCTGACCCTTCTCTATGCTAATTTGCACCAGAGCCTAAATTGCAGTCTAAAAATTGGCTCCCAATCATATGGAAGCTTTAGATTCAAAAATAATAAGATAACCATTATCATCAAAAATGCTTATCATAATAATTTTCTTGTAATTGTTTCAGATTGGGGATTTCACCAGTTTAAAGAACTCCTAAAGAGAAAATTCACTCCACCAATGCAGAACAGCAAGAAGTAACTGATTTGTCCAGGGTCCCACAGTCAGCGTCAGAGATTTTTGTTGTTCAGTTGTTTTCAGTTGTGTCTGACTCTTTGTCACTCCATTTGGGGTTTCTTGGCAAAGATACCAGAGTGGTTTGCCATTTTCTTTTCCACCTCATTTTTACAGATGAGGAACTGAGGCAGACAGGGTGAAGTGACTTGCCCAGGGTCATACAGCTAGTATCTGAGACTGGATTTGAACTCATGAAGATGAGTTTTCCTAATTCCAATCCATTGCACCACCTAGCGGAGGGCCTTCAACTGAGGTATTTCAGTAGGGACAATTCAGTGGATAAAGCCTTAGATTTGGAGTCAAAAAGGTCTGAATTCAAATCCTGCCTCAGGCAGTTACTAGCTGTGTGACCCTAGGCTGTGTGACCTTCAGTTTCCTCATCTGGAAAACAGAAATAATAACAGCATCTACTACACAAGGTTGTTATGAAGATAAAATGAGCTAACATATTTAAAACCCTTTGCAAACCTATTACTGCTAGTTATTATTTACCAGAAATAAGTTACTCAATAACAATGAAAAACATTCCTTAGAGATCCCGTAAAGGTTTGATTTTTTTTTTAATGGAATCAATCATTTCATTTTAAGAAGTTTTCCTGACATCTGCTTCACTGGATTTGCTGAGCCACCCATCTGCCTAGATGTCTGATGTAACTGAGTCTGAAAAAGAATGCATCAGAATAATCTGTATTTATCGTGTTCTTCCTCTAATATTCATCAGGATTCATTTTAAAATGCTCATTAAAGAGACAGAATTGTTTTCTCCTTGGCTAGCAGATCTCAATTCAAAATACAAGATTTGCTATCTCAGAAGGCATGTTTCTTTCTAACACAAAGGAACACTCTTTACACTAAGTCATGCTGCCTCTGTGACACTTTATGCATCGGAATTAATAGTTCTAAATGTTAATAATCATAAAGAAATTTAGCGGCTTCATATATATTGCCATTCAATGCTACATTTTTGATAAAACATTAAAGCAAAACAGAAGCTGTTTAGTAGCCACATGGATAAGAATCAGTTAATCAAACATGGCTACCTGGGTGCCCTCTAAGAGTTTATGGTGCAATCCTCAGTAAGCTCAAAATGGGCAACTAAATTATTTATTGAAGGCCACATTTTAAAAAAACTGAAAAAAAAGAAATACCTTTTCCCAGCTATGGATAAGGAAAAGGGTGATCATAAAAGAATAAAATCAATGTAATTAGGATGGGAAAGGAAGTTGTCAATTGTGGGCAGGAAACTATTGCATCAAATATCTCTAATAAGGACCTGATTTCCAGGAAATCATTTGTGGGAAAGACACAAATACATAAAGCCAAGAGTCATATCCCAGTATATAAATCATCAAAGCATACAAACAGCTTTCAAGAGAATTATAAGCTTTATGCAATTATACGAAGGACTGCTTTACGTTGGTAAAAGAAATAAGTGCGAATCAAAATGTTGAGGTTTCATCTCACAACCCAGCAAACTGGCATAGACAACAAAAGATGGGAACAGTCAAAGAGGTTGAGGTAAGACGCCATATTGGTGGAACTGTGAATTGAGTCCAACCATTCTAGAAAGCAATTTGGGACTATGTTAAGAAAGTGATTAAAATGCTTATATTTTTGTTTCTTTCTTTTTGTCTTCTTCTTCTTCTTCTTCTTCTTCTTCTTCTTCTTCTTCTTCTTCTTCTTCTTCTTCTTCTTCTTCTTCTTCTTCTTCTTTTTTGGCTAGGCAATGGGGTTAAGTGACTTGCCCAGGGTCACACAGCTAGTGTTATGTGTTTGAAGCCAAATTTGAACTCAAGTCCTCCTGAATCCAAGGCCAGTGCTCTAACCACTGCACCACCTAACTGCCCCTAAAATGCTCATATTTTTAAAAATTCTTTTAACCAATGAGGCATACCACAGAAGTCAAAGATAGAAAGGTCCTATATACATCAAAATACTTACAACAGCACTTTTTGTGGTAGCAAAACATTGGAAACAAAATGGATGCCCATCCTTTGAGGAATGTCTAAACAAACTGATATATAAGTGTAATGAGATATTACATCATAAGAAACAGTGAATCTGCAGAATACAGATAGGCATAGGGATAGAGAGGGAACTAGATCTCAATGAGGAAATTCCCTCTATCAATGCACTTTCTTGCCAACTTTTGGGCTTAGAGAGCTGCCTGAAGCACTAGTAGTAAGTGCCCTGCACGACCTTCACCGAGCCAATACGTTTAAAAGGCAAGACTTGAACCCAGGTCTTCCTGACTTCAAGGCCATCTCAAACCCTAGTCTACTTTGTTTTTCTTCCATGGGCAGGTAGGAGAAAATTTAGATGAACAGACAAAAAATGAAGTAGGAGCCAGAATGCAATAGAAAAACTGCAGCAACGTCAATGGAAAAGAAGCAAAGCAGAAAATGGAACCTTGTGCACATCAGGCTTGGCCCCAAAGAGAACAGATGAAAATGGGTCTGTGCATATGGAATGATGTAGACACCATCTCATTTTGTTCATCAGATCAGCTTTTTCCCCCAACCTCTTTATTCTTTGTTATGAGCGATGATTTTCTGTAAAAGAGATACAGAGTGGGATAGTTGAAAATGAAGGTGATAAAAAAACAAGATATCAATAAGTGTTTTGAAATTTTGTGGTCTGAAACAAATGATAACCACGATAGAAAAGACATTAATAAAATTAAATGATGCTTACATTGTTACTTATTACAAATTTTGAAACGTTTAAAAAATTTATATTTTGATGATATATACACACACTTAAAATGTACCAATTATAAAGTAATCTTTCAGAATAGATTTGTTTTCCTGTCAATACAAGCATTTCAAAACAAAATTATTCTTTTCATTTCATCTGAAGATTACCTTCTGGAGAAAATCCAAGGAAGGAGATCTGCTAGCTGAGGGGGAAACAATTCTGTCTCTTTAATAAGCATTTTTAAATAAATCCTGATGAATATCAGAGGAAGAACACCATGAATGCAGACTATTCTGATGCGGTTTTATTCAGACTCAGTTACATCAGGCATCTAGGAGGATGGGTGGCTCAGTGGATAAAGTGCTAGGCCTGGAGTCAGGAAAACCTGAGTTCAAATCTAGCTTTAGACACTTGCTAGCTGTGTGAGCCTGGGCAAGTCATTTTACCTTTCTCTTTTTCAGGTTCTTCATCTGAAAAATGGGGAGGATAATGGCACCTACCGCCAAAGGTTGTTGTGAAGATCAAGAGATGATATTTACAAAGTGCTTTGCAAACCTTAAGGTGCTCTGTAAAATTTATTTTGATTTATCAACAATCACTTCCAAATGCTTTTGAGTTTAAATTTTTTTTCCCCCTTCTTCCCCACCTCCCTCAAGATGGCATACAATCTGATGTAGGCTATACATATACATTCCTATTAAACATATTTTCACATTAGTGATGTTGTAAGTAAGAACTGGAACCAATAAGAGGAACCACCAGAAAGAGGAAACAAAACTCAACAGAAAAAAAAATAACAAATAGGATGCTTCGATCTGCATTCAAACTCCATAGTTCTTTCTTTGGATGTTGATTATAAATGCTACCTATAATTATAAGGGGGCAACTAGGTGGCACAGATAGAGTGCCAGGTCTGGAGTTCAAATCTGGCCTCAGATACTTACTAGCTGTGTGAACCTGTGCAGGTCACTTCACCCTGTTTGCCTCAGTTTTCTCATCAGTAAAATGAGCTGGAGAAAGAAACAGCAAGCCACTCCAGTATCTTTGCCAAGAAAACCCCAAATTGGGTCACAAAGAGTTGGATATTATTGAAAACAACTGAACAAGACCATAAGACAGTACCAAGTGGATGGACTCAAGTCATCTGGTTTGAGTGAACCACATCCTTCCATAATCAAAGAACTGGCAAACAGGATTGCTAAATCATTGTCAGTGATGTCGGAAAAATTGTGGTAAATAGATGAGGAAGCACAAAACTAGAGAAAGGCAAATCGCCAGTTTAAAAAAAAAGCGGGGGGAGGGAAGAATGCAATCCACCAACTCCAGGCTTGTGAGCTCGACCTCAATTCCTGGACCATTCTAGAACATTAAAGCGTCCCTCTGGAAGAGGAAGTGGCAATTACAAA